ATCCTGGCCCATCCTCACCCTTCTGCCCCCAACCCTCACCTCCTTGTACCCCCAATATGTTTTTCCCAATAAAAAAAATATTAATTAAAAAAAAAAAGGTTACTGCAGCTCTGGTGCCAGTTTGAAGACTAAGGTTCACTTGATTCAGGCCATGGTCTTTTCAATCACTTTATATGCATCTGAGAGCTGGACAATGTATAACAGAAGAATTGATGCCTTTGAATTGTGGTGTTGGAGAAGAACACTAAATATCCTATGAATGGAAAAAACAAAAAGATGCCCATCAAAAAACAAACCCCCAAACAATTATGTCTTAGAAAAAGTGAAGCCAGAATGCTCCTGAGAGGTAAGGGTAGTAAAACATTGTGTCCCATATTTTAGGCATGTTGCTAGGAGAGGTTATTCCTTGTAAAGGAATAACATGCTTGGAAGGGTGTAGGGTCAGTGAAAGAGAGGAAAATCCTCAATGAGATGGATTGACAGACTGTGGCAATGAGCTAAAGTATATCTGTCAGAGATGATGATGGCACAAGATAGGACAGGTTCGGATCCATTGTTCACAGGGTGGCTGGGTTACACTTGACGGCACCTAACAACAGCAGCAGCTGTTGGCCTAGTGGGTAAGGAGTCATGGTTAAGGACCCAATGGTGGCCTAGTGGGTAAGGAGTTGCACTGCCAACCTTAAGGTGGAAGGTTCAACTTCATCAGCATCTTGGAAGGAGAAAGATGGGCTATCTCCTCCCATGTGATTTACAGCTTCTTAAACCTGCTGCAAGTTCAGCTATGAGTCAGTCTGATTTGCCAGCAAGGAGTATGAATATATAGTATTGATAGTATTATTTTAAAGTTCTATTAATCTTACTAACTTTTTAAGGTGTGTTAAAAGTGTGACAGTACAGTGGGGAGAAGATCTGAGACTAAAATGTAAGCTTTTACAAAGTTTTTCTCTAAAACATCATCTCAATTTCCTTTCCATTCCTAACACACAAAAGCCTTTGTTGGTAAAATTAAAAATATTAATGTAAAATTAGAAATTAATGTCCTCACGACCATGAAATCAGTTTCCTTGAAACCAAGATAAAATTTAAAGTAATTCTTAAGTGCTAAACCAACATATGTACTAAAATGAAATTCCCCTAAAACTCCTGTGTATACAAATCTCTTAAAATAATCTAACACATACTACCATTAAATAAGGTTTCAAAAACTTATCAGTGCACTAGATTTTGTTGCAAATTCAATTGTATACCTACTTGCCAGTTTAATATCCTAACTAAAAAAAAAAAAATATCCTAACTAAAAAAAAAAAGTCTGTTGAGTCTTTCTGTATAAAAAGTTAATCTTTGTCCAAGTTAAATGCATGATTATTTCACCAGCAACATGTCCAGCAAAAGCTAAATGCTTAAAGCCATTACCCTGGTTGTTCCCTTACAGCTATTCAAATTCTGTGATCACAAAAGCCCATAATTGATTGCGCTGGCAGGCCAGGTCTCTGCCAGTTCCACTCACCACTCCAATACTTCTTCATAGCCTCATTCTGTCCACTGGACAACAAACGCCTCACCATAGTGCTGACGGAACAGCTTGGCTCCGTTATGTCCAGGGCTTGTTTTCTTAAAAACTTTTTATTGCTCTAAACTGCCTGGGTGAGTGACAAAAGGCTTTTGTAGCCTGCTGTCCAAAGAATTCATTTGAGACCAAATTTATTTCACTGGTAACCCAGACAGTGGTTTCTTACTATAAAGTACAGAGAAAAGTTATTTTTTTTTCTCTCAATTTAGGATAAATTTTCTCACCAAAGATATGTCAACAGCCTATCAGTGGGCATTCAAACAGTGAAGTGACTCGTCATTTTACTTTTTAAAAAGCGTCCCTTTCTCCCAACTCATCAATTTAAAAAACTCCACTCTAAGTCATTAACATTTCTTATTATCATCATTAATGATTAACCCCACCGCCCACCCTGAAGCACTAGGTTAGGTACCCACTTGCAAAGAGACAATTATGTAACTTTGCAGCTGCAACAATGAACACAAGTAAGAGCAGCCCTGTCCAACCTTGAATAAATTTTGATCATACACAATGACTGAAGCCTAAGGATTAGTAAACAGACCCAAGTCTTCTCTTTTTAAATAGTTAGGCCAGCTGTTTTGTCCAAGCAAGTTTTCAGAGGTATTCATTCCCATGCAGAAACAGAAAACTAATCCACTGGCCTCTCTCCACACACATTGCAAATAAACCCTCTCAGATTACAGAATGAGTTTCATTTTATCACCTGACTCTCCTGGATGACAGCATGACACCATATTTTAAAACTTGAAGTAAAATAGTGCTGTCTAGCCTTTACACATCATTTCCATTCTGCAGAGAAAAAACACTTGGTCCACAGAGAATTGTTAGAAAATAAAGCACTGGTTAGGACAATTTTTTAATGTGGCAAACCACAGTTTGGTGAACTAACTGAACTGCTTTCCATTATTCCTTGTGATTCAATGAGTCAGATTTTTCTGCACAATTAGCATTTACAATCTAATAACTGCAGAGGTAGATCTTTGGCAAAGACATAAAAATAAAGACCACAATAGGCATTTTTAATTTTAAAGAATTTTAATACAAACTTAATATAAACTATTTCAGTCCCTCTTAACATATAAGACACTGACTCAAAATACTTTTATACCGTTTTTTTCAAGTATTGCACAATATAGGTACAAAATTAATATTTACGATTACATTTTCTTCCATAATATATAGCAAAAATCTTTAAACCTTTAACAGAAAATACATTTTTTTTGAAAAAGCAAATATTCGTACATTTTAATTCCACCACTAAAGGAATATCCTGTACACAATTTTTGAGAATAGTTGATGTCTTTAAGATGGATATTTTACAATTTCAGTAAAAAAAATACAACATGAAGCTGCTGCTGTCACAGATCACTGTAGTAAAAAGATAGAAATGCAATACCATGTCGTAGAAACAATATATATATCCTCTGATATTTTACAAACTTTGTACTAAATTAAATTATACAATTAGAAAAGACCAATAAACCCACTTATTAGTGCCAATTTTTATATATATGTATATAAAAAAAACCAGCCATGTCCTTGCTCTATCTTAAATACTGTAGTAAGAGGCCCTATCTGAGAGTATACTTTAAAATATACAGTCAGTATAAAATAACTTTGTGCTTGGTTGGCAAATGAAAAATGATGCATGTTTTATTTCTGTAACCAAGCTTGAGTGTATCTTTACTATTAG